TAGTTTGGGAATCATCGGTAGTACGCACCCACTGGGATTGGAACCCGGGACCTTCCGGTTACAAGGCAAGCTCGTATACCATTCAGCCACTGGGACCCGATTCAATGGCTCATGAATTCTAACTTCTACCAATTCGTGATTTTAGCGCGACCCCAACTATTGTCGTTGGTGGGACATCCATCCACACACGTGACTTCTAATTGCACCTCACTGGTCACGACTTATCACTAGAACTACAGGAAGCTCCAACCTGTAGCAAGTCACTAGCGAGCATCAGAATAATTTTCTATAGTTCGTAAAACATAACTAATCCTTACAAACCAAACTATAGAAAATTATTCTGATGCTCGCTAGTGACTTGCTACAGGTTGGAGCTTCCTGTAGTTCTAGTGATAAGTCGTGACCAGTGAGGTGCAATTAGAAGTCACGTGTGTGGATGGATGTCCCACCAACGACAATAGTTGGGGTCGCGCTAAAATCACGAATTGGTAGAAGTTAGAATTCATGAGCCATTGAATCGGGTCCCAGTGGCTGAATGGTATACGAGCTTGCCTTGTAACCGGAAGGTCCCGGGTTCCAATCCCAGTGGGTGCGTACTACCGATGATTCCCAAACTAGGATGAAGCAGCAGCTGTCCAGTACTCCCTGGTTTTCAATAGTTCTCTAACTGATATCAGTCCGTGATCAACTCGTAAAACATAACTAATCCTTGCAAACCAAACTATAGAAAATAAAAGGTTAGTTTATGTACGCATCATAAAAAATGAGGCATACAGAGAATTTATATACATAGGATGGAAGGTAGTATACAAAAACACACAGTCCCAGTTGTCTTAGGCAATTTTCAGTATCTTGTAGGGGTAAAACTCCCCTCAAACTTATTGGCCTACAACATTCTTCACTCAACATTGGATAGTGACCTTCACTAATTAGGTCAACTCGTTAAGCTGAAGATTTGCGGTTAGGCATACACGCCATTCAAGACTCTTTAGTCGTTGGTGTACGATCCGTAGCTAGCTAAGCAATCATCTACCTACCAATCTGATGGCAAGATATATGTTGTATTTTGAAGGATCAGTCTGGTGTTTAGATGTGTCTTTGACCCAAGTAGAACAAGTGCTATAGGAGTTGGAGAATAAGAACTTGCTTTTGTCTATATGGTACTTTGTGTAAGTGTCAGCATCCCTTCCCCCTAAATTTTCTGCCATTTGAAGTATTTGGTAACTTTCGGTATACGGTGGGTGATAGAAGAAGAGTCTTCATTGCTAGGGTTGAGGCCTGTTCGCATCATGTGCGATGGTACCGAACTATTAATGGCTTTTACTACACCTGGTAGGTGTTGCCTAGTGAACAGAATTAAGTTCATATAGCCATGACAGATATAAACGATTGCATTCATAGCTACAGGAAGAGGTGGCTAGTAAACTGTTAATTTAGTGTACTTTTATTCAAACGTAAGGAGAGTGATGAATATTCAAGTGTAACTAAGTATGGCGACATCAGGAAGTGCTTAAAATCAGGACATTTTCGAAATTAAACACCTTACTACTAATAAGTAGTCTAATTCTCTAGGTGGAAAACATGCTGAAATTCTGTAACCAACATGTGGAATTACATATGACGCTCTGTCAGAAAAAATCACATTCACTGTAATGTTATACCTTTTTTCTTCCCTTATAATGCCTTTGTGTATGACTGGGACACTGAAGACTATGTGTTCAGTCATTACGGCTACAAGTTCCGAGAAAGACTAGTTTCTTCTATTAAGCAATTGGTTTAGTTTTCTCTGATCTCCTCTATACTGTTCGTTGATACATCTCCTTGGAATAATTTATTAGACTGTGAAACTATCTGTGACAACCTTGGGTCGGCAAACTGCCACTGATACAATGAGTGATGATGGAAAGTGACATAAAACCCTGGTTTGCAGCAGGATTCCAACCCGTAGCTCCTGCTTTGTTGGTTAGATGATTTGGTGATCCAGCTACTAGGCACAGCTGTTAACCATATCACTTTTTTACTTCGGTCACTGAACGTAAGGCCCAGCTGTCATGTGAATGAAGAGCATATGACTGTCTGTCTGTCTGTCTATCACTATACTGTCTAGCTAAATCTGCTCCAGTCAGTCCTAAATATAGAAAAAAAGGTAACTAGCTGACAGTGTGCTTTGCATGTATTCTCTTCAATGATTCATGAAATGAGTTGAAGCTCAAAATCATAAGCTCCTTATCATACTAGAAGAAAACTAAGCGAAAATCAAATACCGTGTTTTAATCAACCTAGCTTAAGGACCATTCGTAATAAAAGTGAGACAGACGACTCAATTATTCCTCATTTATCCAACTAATATACCTAATATAACAAAGTTAATTACGCTCAAAAGGACTCATAAATACAGGCAGCAGCTGGTGCTGTGAAAGTCTGTAGAAAACTTCAGTGTAATGTAGTTTACCAGAAGAATGCTGGACTGCCATGCTGAAGGTTCGAGTTTCATTTTGAGCCAACGCGGTCCTCACTTGTTTTACCCTCCGGTTATAAGTCTCGAAAAGACGGAGTGTAGACGGTGAGACTAGCTACTCCGAGCTGTAAAAGAAACACTGCTTAAACTTCAAGAATTGAAGTCTAGCATGGCACCCAAAATGGATAAAATACCTCTAATAGTGTTGCATCAGTCGTTTGCCGACTAGCGAGCGAAAATGCTAGCTCAGTACAGTACTTAATAATCCTATTTCCAACAAACAGAAAACTACTCAGAGTGAAAAATGCATTCGGATGATGGTTTAATGTCTACTGACACTGGAAACTGACAATGCTGATCTCCGTTGGGTGGACACACGCATTTCTGTGCACTCTAGGAGTACATCTATTCATAGAGACGACCTTCCTGAAATAACAGAATTAAAGGTCGTACGAACTCAGAGTTATCTGAAAGCCTGTAACCTGACGAAATAACAGTTATAGAATGGTAGTTATTGATGGATGTGAAACTCAACCAACCAGTTTCAGAGCGGTCGCAGTAACCACACGTAAGGGAGGCAGTGTAGCTTTTTATAAATTCTTGCAGCCTGCAATAAGAATGATGGCACTAGAATCTCATGAGAATGACACTTGTGAGAATGTCGTTTGTAGAGTTAACTGGAATTCGGGCACAGTAACGGTTTGGTTCAGTAAGGAAATCTCAGCTGCTGAGCTGATGACTTCATATTAACCACTTATGTGTGAGTCTCCAGAAACAGTACCTCCAATATGTCAAACGCCAATGAGCGTGAACTAACAGACCAGACAATAGCTCTTTTGTATGCACCCGTACAGAATGTGCAATATGTTGTGGCTGTGTTCTCTGAAATGGTTGGTTTAGTTGCGAACCTTTGTTTGTCCTACTAGACAATATCCTCAGAGTAGGCTTCACTATGAACTAAATTCATCTCAATGCTCTCCCCTGACGACCTTGTTTGTGATTACTTGTTAATCTACATTAGTTTTGTTAGTTTCTATTGACTTGGAATTTAGCTTCTTTGTAATACAGCTCATACTTTATTACTTGGTAAATTAGATCTATTTTAATGTATCTGCTGACTGTGGATTTGTCTAAGTACCCGGCTTCTGGGAATAGTTTGACATTTCTGGTGTTTTTGCTGCTTGAAACTTCTACATTTTCACGGCCAAAATAGTGTCGGAACTTGTTTACGTGCATTAACGCAAAAGGATAAATGACATGTGCAACCGTCAATATGTTGTGGTCTGAAGCATGACCCCTGGGTTCTACTGGTGGCATTTATACCAGAAAGTGGATGTAAGTGTCTTCCACTGCTAGACAGCAGTGACTATATATTGCTCGCCTGTATATTAAAAATGCTTAACTTAACTAATAATTGGATTCTTCCACATCTAAATATTTGCTTGGTAGATACACTGGCAGTTAGAACTCAGAAGCCTTAACCAGCTGATTGGTTAACATTGAGTGCATGGTATAAGACCGGATGAAATTACGGGATATATTCAAGTATGTTACATCAGTTTGTATACCTTGATCTACACTCTGAAAGACATCTAATAAACATTATCGGATACACATTTAATGGAATTCGTTTAAAAAGTGAAGGTACTTACAAGACAGTTGAGGGGAAATTCTGGTCAGAATACCCAGAATACCCGGCAAACTCTGAAAGTCTACAATCGAAAATAATTGTATAGAATCTGAGAAGCAGTTGACCGACGTCTTAAATTATATCGAAAGACTGAACTCACACGTGAAACGCAGGACCACAATAAATACCCAGGCGCCCAGTGACGTCACTGTCGATGCTACACTAATCCCTTGTTATGCTGAACAGATCGGTGGCGCTCAGGCTGTTACTTAATTTAGAGTCCAGTAAGTCTTGAGGGTCTCACAGAATCCACTCCACGTTTCCATAGTGCTAATCTTCCTAGCTGACATAATATACCCCCGTCCTATGAAGACATGCAATACTCTTGCTATTCTTGCCATATTTCAGTGATTTACCTAAAATCCTGAACTTATCCTCACATCTCGTATTCGTATGAAGAAACACAATTACCTGATGTCAAAGCGAAAGAGGATGCACGAAATTTTATTGACGCTAATTTAAAATCAACTGCACATAGCTGTTAATCAGAAGGTAGGACTTTCTTACTTGTAGGGCCGCTAAAATTTGCCTTTAAATGCTTATATTAGAACACAGCTCAAGAGTTCCTTCGATCGTAATTTAGATTTCATCTTAAATACCGTATACACGTGGCTTACCAATGTTTTCAGAGGAAGTCACAAGTCTTGGAAACAGCAGAAGCTGTAAAAACGTTACTAGTTATTTATAAACGCAATCGAATTTGGAAAGTTGTGACTTTTGAGTCTTTGAAAAATTTAATCAACGGGAAAATTTCATCGAATACAGTTGATTGAGACGGACAAGCATAAGCCAGAAGGTTCTGTTTAAAATCAAGCTAACATAACACTAATTGGAGATTGATCACACTGATGACCTTGAGAGACCTTGGCAGATATAGAAACAGCAAACTCCCGTCCTCTTAAAATGACAAATGAAAGTTACATTTGCAGTGTTAATCTCAGACTTCATCACGTAATGTGAAAAATCTCAGTATTTAATGTAAATTGGTAGGTATGTTCCCCTGGGGCACGTCTTTATAGTGAAAATTGCCTGTACTTACTGGTCGAATTATTTAACACACCGAAAAGAACTGAAATGATATTACCCTGCTTTCCTCTGCTAGTCGATAAGAGCCTTGTATTCACGAAGTTGTTACATCTTGAAAAAAGTCCCTCTACCTTGTACGATATTTTGAAAAGCAAGTTTATTTCATATCTCTGATATATCAGTTTCACCTGGCTAGATTGTAATATAAGAGTAGAACTTCGTGAGGATCCCCTTGATTCAACATCAATAAAGCTCTTAGCGTTTTACTTACATAATGCTTGGAGATTTTTGGTCGGACCATATTACAAACGAATACACAGCATTGTCACAAGAGAAATATTTCTCAGGAGAACAGTTGACTTCAAAGTAAGTTTTATATTTCGACGGCTGACAGAAATATGGGGGACTTTGTCAGTATTTTAACTAAGTCAGAGATAGGTCAGGGAAACACCAGTCATAGCAGCGTGTTTTTATTTGGCCCCTCCCAAAAACACGAAATTCCGAAAATTTATCACAAATTTGAAGTGTAGTATTCCAATAACCAATATTTTTATGACAAACTTGTATAAATCTTTTGATTTATCAGTGTTTCGGAACGTTTCTAAATCGTTGGCAGATGTAGGTACAGTCTATCCTTTTGGCTACTGCAGCTTTGCTGGCGGGCGGCGAACACTAACGGAAAATAAGTTATTCCTTACCCCTGTTACCTCTTTTTGATGAGCAACTCTGTTAAGGTTACCCTCAGGGTCACCATAATACCCTTCTTGTAATGTATCTCTGATAAGATGCATGGGGCTATGCACTGCTTTGTGTGCTTCATTTAGGTTTCTCTTGGTCCTAAGACAGCTAGCCTAAACCCAGCTTCCGTAATCCGTCATCATTCGTGCGGCGTTCCAATCTGATGACAGTTTTGCTAGCTCTCCTTTGTATTCTTTCTAAGAGATTCACATCTCATCTTAGGAATGATGGTATAGTGGCAATAGAAACTTCTAAACGTGGACATAAATATGTCTAGAACAAATGCATAGAATGTCTGGTGTAAGTGCTTTCAACTACTTATCCACAAAGTAAATTGCTATAGATGCTTTGGCTGTGTCTCCCGCATAGTTAGCACTTGTGTCACTCTTATGCTTCAGCATAAACCCTCGGTGTGTATGAGAGGTGGACTGCAAATCAGTGGCATGGAAACTTTTGTCCTACTTGTTTACGGATGAATACTGTGCCAGAATGCTGTTCAGTCATTCCACGCTAAGGGTAAATTGGTAGCGTAAAACGGTTTCTTCTTCGAATTCATGTTGAGCTTCGCGCAAGATGCTATTCTGGCTCTGACATTCAGTAGGCTTTCCATCACCTTTGAAATTATTGGCATTAGAGCTGCCAGTTTATTGAGTTTTGGGTTTTGTCAGAGCCTACCGCTCCTTCGAAAATAGGTGATAGGATCACCTGCTCCGAATCTCTCGGCAGTCAGCATATGTGGTCACTGCTGCCCACAGGTGGTCATTCGTGAGAGGATAACCTAGCGGGGATGGTTAACCATCAGGTCACCCGGGTGTGTTGTTCTTTATGGTTTCATATAGTCCAGCCGTCGTCACACGCGTTCAGTCGCTCTCTGTCGAAAGTTTCTCTTTAGTTATGCTTCTCACTGGTGCTTTGTAATGTTGTATTAAAATCACTAGCGATAATGGCTTCATTATATCCCATAGTTGAGATTATGAGGATTGCTTCGATCATTTTTCGTTTGTGTTTTCCACTTTGCATGTCAAGGATCCGTAAACGCTTCCATTTAGCAACCTGACGAGTTGTTTTTTCAGTCGTGCAACGCTATATAGACTTCAGAAGTTCCGTCATTGCTGTTTTAGTGGTTAAACATGACCGGAGCTTACTGCCTACACAAAATACGTTACGATGATTGCAGATTCAACTACAAATGTCACACCAGTAGATCAGGGTCAGTCTAGTTATCAGAATGCAGGAATTTAGCTAAATGTAGAATGATCGACTTCAGAAAGATGAATAGCTTAGGGAAGAATTCAATAATCGCAATGCATATATTAACTCACAGCCACACACTAAAATTGGGAGAAGGCTACAGTTCTAAAGTGTGACATAAGTAGGTGGAAGGAGAAGGGTTGATCACTAAATTTTTACTCATGGAATTTATTCCAAACACCTGAATTAGAAACAACTTGACACCAATATCAGAGATATAAAAAATATTGATACTAATAGAATCAAAGGATAGAAAATAATAGAATTCTATAAAACACAAAATAACTGAGCAGAGAATATCCTTTTCGATAATTTCCTCTTCTGGCTCTACAATTATATACATTATGTTTATATACATAGAATATTCTAGAATAGTAGTCAATAACAATATTAGTGTTTTTTAAATAATACCGATTTGTTAAGTAAGATCAATGCAATTACGGTTCATTAAAGATGCTTAAATTATAACAAGCATAAAAATATAATCGCAAATAGAATATCAACTAAAATTAGGAAAATTTCTAAAAAAATTGAGGATCATTCGAACCTAAATGGCCAAGGTAAGGATAATGTGTCAACTAACTTCTTTCGGGTGCACAAATTAGGCTTCTTAATGTGAATCCCAACGGCCAGCCCCAGCAATATTCAGAAATCGAACTCTTACGGCGAAGTCTGTTGGTATGCAGTAAATGAATCTGAAAGCCTAATTGACGTCAATCTTGTGTTTTGTATCCACAAGATGAGATAGAATAGCGCTTCGAATAGATTTAGTTTGTCCTTTCCTTAACCACCATGCAGGTTGATGTTCGGAAATCCGACGTGTCTGAGTTTTCTGAAATGATTATGAGCAATAAATTGTGTTTGAAACAGTATCAGTAAATAAAACTGTTTCATTGTTCATTTGTCAGGTAAGATCATTCTGTGGTGGGTGGGATTAGAAGTGATTTACTGTGAACAAACTTTTCATGTAACAGGCTATTAGTCATATATGCTGTGTGAGAACTTATGATACTAAGCAGTTACTCATGATGAACTGAAGTTCTTAAGTCAGTCAGTGATCCATGTATCCACTCAAGTAACACTGTCAGTTAGCCATTTAAACTTCTGGTTTTGAAATATTGGCGAAGTTTGGAGCTCAGGTGGATGATTTTGATTTAGTTATGTTCCCTAAGCTGGTTGATTTGATTGCAGAGCTCTCGTTGTCTCTCTAGACGACATCTTCAATGCAGGTTTTAGTAGGAAATAAAAAGTTATTTGGATTCTCCATGGTGATATAACTGTATCTCCTGGCAACCATTTTTATTTGACTGGTTGGTGATTTACGTCTCTATTGATCATTTTTATTGACTTGGAATTTGAATTTGACTGTCATGTGATTTACTTTCTATTAGCTATTAAATTTGGTCTAAAGTAATATGTTTGTAAATTGCTTATTCACTTGAGGAACAGAATTCTAGAAATTTCCTAACATTACTCTCTGGTGTTTCCTTTATTTAAAATTTCTACATTATCCCAATCAAATTGGTGTCCATAATTATCTACGTACATTGATATGAAAGAATATGTATTGTGCTTTTTTACAGCTAATTTGTGTTCTTGGATTCGGATTCGAATGGGAAGCCCACTTTGACTGATGTAATGTTTATCGCAATTCACACAGTTTAATTTGCAAATGGTATTAATTTTATGTTCTTTTTCTGTCTGATCTTTTGGTTTGCACAATATCGAATGGAGTGATTGTTCTAGCTGGTCTTTGTGCTATATCAGTTTGAAACGGTCTTAATGTTCTAGCTGTTATTTCGGAGATATTTTCTATGCATGGTAGAACGAATTTTATTGTGGTCTTTAATGATGGTTTCTTGTTGGTGTTTTGACTCGATTTTAAACACTTTTTGATGAAATTTTGAGGATATCCATTCTTTTTGAAGACCGTTAGTAGGTATTTCTCTTCAATTCTCTTCAGCACCGGAGTGAAACAGTGCGTTTGAACTCTTTTAAACAATGTCTGCACACAGTTTCTTTTGTGAGTAATTTGGTTATTGCTATTATAGTTGAGTATTTGGTCTGTGTGCGTTGATTTTCTATATACTTGTGTTTCTAAATTTCCTGTATTAGTTCTCCTGATTAAGACATCTCAAAATGGGATTTTGTTATCTAATTCTTCTTCTCTTGTGAATTTGATGTCTTCAAATATGTTGTTTATTAATTTATGGGTATATTCTAAATCACTTCTTTTAATTATTACAAATGTATCATCAACGTAACGTATCCAGATTTTCGGTTTAATTATAGGTAGATCTATTAATTCTAATCTTTGCATAACGGCTTCAGCTATTAATCCTGATATGGGCGATCCCATTGGTGTTCCTTTTATTTGTTCATATATTTGAGTATTGAATTGGAAGTATGTTGTAAGGCATAATTTTATGAGTTCTATCCAAGTTGATAATTGCGTTTTTATGTTTTCATCACTATAGAGTAATTGTTGCATAGTTTCTTTTGCTAGTTTTGAACCAGTTGAAGTATATAATGCTGTGACATCAAAGGACCCCATTACTTCATTGTCATTCAATTGAATGTTTTTGATTTTCTCTAAAAATTGGATTGGTGAATTGTTAGAATGGTCGCATGATTCTGTTAGGTATTTTAATTTTCTGAAAATTTCCTCAGACAGATTATATGTTGGTGTTCCTGGAAGCGAAATTATTGGTCGTATGGGAATGTTTGGTTTGTGTAGTTTCGGCCTATCGTAAAATCGCGGTAAAACATGTCTATTAGATTTCATTCGCCATTCTGGTTTTCGTCTGTTCGTGTTTGTGCTTTTTTTTAATTTTAGGGTCCTCCCATCAGAATGAAGATAACAGCTGAAACAACTATTCAAAAAGTTCCCGTGAAAACATTTCATCAGTTGACTGGTGTAAGTTACTCTCCCAAGGTGTTTAATCACTAATTTATAACACTTTGGATTATTGTGGATGAAGTTTTGAGTTTCCGGTACCTCATTTCTATTGGTCAATCGCTTTTCCATCTGAATGACTGTAAAATATGCTGGAACATTTACTCATAACTCATATTGTCCGTGAAAAGTCCGAGTGGTAAAGATCCTGAACACGTAAAATATAAAAAACTTACCATAACCTACCAAGTACTTCTGAATATGAATAACACCCTCATATATTGTAATCTGCTGTGGATCTGTGACAAATCGATTTAGACTCCGGACTTCTAACCACAATTTCGAACTCTACTCCACTCACCGAAGTTTGGTCACCGAGCCAGTACCTCTAGGCCTACCACACATATGTATCGGTAGAAGACTAGAGACTTGGTAAAAGAATGTTTATTTGCAATTTGGTATCTCTATATAGAGAAATTTTACACACCTTATCGTCAACGCACCATTTGCACAGATCTTCCGTGTTCGGCTACTTCTCGCCTTCCTTCATATTGTCTTTCTTTGTGTTCCTTTCACGTGTCTCCCATGTATCTGCGCAAGACTGTATCATTTACTTTCTCTGACATCAAATCTATCTCCCTTCTATTTGATGTTTTTGCCGGCCGATGAACATCTCTTTACAAATATATACTACTGATAAATCTTATCAGTAGCACATGCCACACTTACACACAATAGACGTAACTTATTGTCAACCGTGGGGAAATGAAACTTGTTTTTGAATAGCACTCCACTGGACTTCTAACTGACAGACGTTTCACTGTCTTCCTAGGTTCCATCACCAGTACAACTTCATATAAGAAATGAAATAACTTACAGACTGAAAGTATCCAACGTGTTCAAGGTTATCTATCTTGTGATGGTATGCCTAAAAGAGCAGTTTTTACACAAAGCAGACTATTCGAGTAGTTGATATCACCTTCTCCCAGTTATTCCATCCTTCTTGTTACAACAGTATTCCACACGGTTCACCTGAGATACAAACACTTGTAACTAATATTGCTAAGAGGGTGCCTCAGTCAGTCAGGTCACATGAAGTGCATACCAATATCCCACCTAGGAAAATCAGAGTTACAGGATTTCATCATGAGCTGGCATTGGTTAAAGAACCATTGGAAAACCAGCATCGGAGTACTGGACAGCTGTTTCGTCAGCCTAGTTTGGGACTCTTCATCAGTACGCATCCACCGCCAGGGTTCGAACCCAGGACCTTCTGGTTACAAGGCGAGCTAACTCGTAGACCATTAAGCCACTGGGACCCGATCCAATGACCAGTACATGAATTCTAACTTCTGCCAATTCACGACATAGCGCGACCGCTAGCCAATGTCTTCGGCGAGTATTTGTCCTCACACCCGACCTGCTGCACCCTACTGGTCACAACTTCCCACTAGAACCCCAGGTAACTATACCTACCTGAATAGGGCCAGTCACTAGTGAGCATCTCATTGATATTCAAGTATGGTTTGTAAGGATTTGATTGATTGGTTACAGGATTTCATCATGAGCTCCCAGGTGGTTTTCCAATGGTTCTCTAACCAATGCCAGCTCATGATGAAATCCTGTAACCATTCAATCAACAAATCCCTACAAACCAATACTTGAAAATCAGAGTTTCTATCCATCCAGACATCATATAACACAACTTTTAGTAGAAATTATTCATAAAACAAATTTACTGAGCGAAATTTTAACCAATATGCCAAATAAGTCCAGTCGTCTTACGTTATAATGTATTCTGACTCGTAACTGTAGAGGCGTGGGCGTGCGATAAACTTGACTGGTTGCTATTCTGTGTTTAAAGAGTGGCCAAGTGACCCGCAACTCCAAAATTTATTGGTTAGTATCTTTTGTTTAAGTGAAGTGTGCTAAAAGTGTTTCTCGTGATTGGTTTGTTTCACTCTTGTTCAACTGTTACCAAGACAATGAGGCAGAATCTTCAATTAAGTAGTATAGACTCATTTAAGTAGGTATCAAAACTTTAAATGCATTAATGAATAACGAACGAGTGAAATGACTGTCCGATGTTCAGATGACTTTCTTCTATCTCACTGGCCATCAAGCATTATTAGCTTCACATGAGTAGTCCCCAACTACTTATATGAATCAATTAGTAGTATATATATTATCATGATATTTTCGTAAAATTCTCATATACAAAATGACAGTAAATATTTCAATGGTCAATTGAGAAAGATATCTTTTACTGGCCAAGTTAAACTTTAAGCACCACTAACACTACCAATGGAGTGCGACCGCACCAGTGACCTTGAAACGCTCACTGAGCAAGTTAGTGAAACCTGGCAAATAATGTTGTCATCATCAATAAAATATATGCTCATCGAAGTGTTATGCTGTTAAATGGGATATCTGGGAAGTTTCAGCTTAGGTTTGGGAAAGATTAAGTTACGCTTTAAGCCAAGGACAAGTTAGGGTTAGGTTAACCTAATAAAGGCGACATTAGGGTTAGTTTAGGGATATTTTCACGTTAGGGCTAGGTTCAGGAAAGATTAGGGTTATTGTTAGGGTTAGAAGACCTAAATAATTACATGCATAGAATGTGGTTAAATTACTCTGTTGATATAAGAATAGAACTTGTGCACTGTGGCGGTAGAGTATAATTCCATTGTGGGTAACATTTATTTTGATAAAGTCTCACAGTGTTTGTTATACAGTAATATTTACTGATGACCACGTTTCGAGCACAATTTATTGCTCAGGAAATATTTCTGTATTACACTGTGAGACTTTATCAAAAATAAATTTTACCCACAATGGAATTATACTCTTTTGATACTCCAACCTAAAACTGAGAGCTATTTTTATCACATGTGAGAGCAAGGTATCCTCTAAGTTTTTATGCATTATTTCATAAATATATATGTATTCCATATTCAAAAATGCCTCCTTCACGTGATTGGTGCGTTCGAGGTCATTCGCTGATTGGTAGTTAGTGGTGCTTAAAGTTTAACTTTGCCCTTTTACTAATGATGAGACTGTTTCGGACGGCACTGGAATTGTCAGGATACAACTGGAATGAAGATCTGGATCATAGCAGGATTTGAACCAGTGATCACGTCACTTATTCTACGGCGTATTTTATTTTTATCAAGCTTACCTAGACACTTTACTGTGGCGTAGTAGATAATGTTCTGAAGTTTGAAACAATGTGTACTGGGGTGGCACAGCGGTTAGGACTCTTGCCGACCATGCACATGGTCCGGGGTTCGATCACCTGCCGACGCACACCTGATATCAATAATCGGCCTGTAGAATTTAGGCAACTGATATCACAGGCTGAAAATTCCATACTTGTACCGAAAATACGGTGTGGAGTCAAGCTATAATCAAAAAAAAGAAAACTGGCACTCACTGAGAAGTAAGTGCATCGAGTTGACGAGACCAGATAGGACGAAATTCGCACTGCAGATTCTACTTTCACTCAGAACCAAAATCAAGATAATTCGAGTTTTTAATTCTCCTTGAGGCATATGCATGGTGGTTCAGTTGTGGAATGCTTGCAAACCCATACATAGTCCACGGTTCGACTTCTGGCCAGTGGACTTCTAAACATCGCCTAATTCACCAGCGCATAGTAAACCCGGAAAAGTAGAAAGGCTGGGAATAAGGCTAGCAACCGCTTGCCTTCAAAACAACACTGCTACTGAAACTTCAAGCTTGTAGCTCTATGTTCCACTCAGAAGGTAAGGACTGAAAGACAGTATGGATGCATCCATTTTCAGGACCGCGTATATTATTATTATATTATTATTGTTTCCTTTAATTCCTAGAGGAACATAGGGCTTCAGCCGTGCGTCTCCATTGCGTTCGGTTCTCTGCTAGAGTCTTCACCTGACTCCAAGTCTGCCCACATGCTTTCATCTCCTCTTCACATGACCTCCTCCAAGTCACCCTTGCACTGACGACCAACTCGCCGCTTCCCTTTCGGGTTCCACTCGAGCAATGGCCTGTCGTGTGATGTCACTTGATGGTTTCCTCAGAGTATGGCCAATCCACCTCCATTTCTTCCTGCCTATTTGTTTCACAATCGGTTCCTGCTGCGTTGGTTCGCTCCCAGAGATCTCTGTTGCTGATCTTTTCTGGCCGGTCATCTGATCTTGAGTATTGAGCGAAGACAACTGTTAATGAAGGTCTGTAGTTTGTTTGAGGTGCTCTTCATGACGCGCAGTGCAAATCTCTGATCCGTATAGTAGCACTGACTTCACATTGGAGTTGAAAATCCGGATCTTATCTTCATTTTGATGCTGAGTGCTGTTGACCTCCACACAGACTTGAGAGTAATGAAAGCTTGTCTTGCTTTCCCGATCCTTGCTTTGATATCCTCATCAGTTCCGCCTGTAGTTGAGACGATGCTTCCCAGGTCGGTTTGTGAAGGAGGTTGTTTCTTTCAAGTTCCTCCCATTTATGCTGATCGTTGTCTGTTGTTGTTGTTCTTGTCCAGGAATCTTCATTACCTCTGTTTTCTCTATGTTCGCGTATATACCGAAAAATAAAACGAATCAATCAGGTCAAAAATATGAAGAGGAAAACACGAGCATGACTAAAATAGTCTTCAAATTAAATCAAGATCTGATTTAATTTAGACAACCACTAAAAGCCAGTACTGGACAGATGTTTTGCCTTAATTCAGGACTCTTCATCAGTACACACTCATGAACTTAATACGGATAGAACCTAGGACCATAAGATTGCGAGGCAATCCAGTTGATGGCTGTGGTAATGGGTTGGAGTCTCGTGGCCGATGAATTACAGAGTAGTGGATTCGATCCCCCGTGGTGTGTGTTGATGAAGAGTCCCAAACTTGGTTTTCTAACTTGAATACCTTCTTATCGGCAAGTGTAAGTGAAATAATTTTAATGTGTATTTGTATTTCTGATTTGTTCGTCAACTGATCTTTTATTTAACTGGAAGACGAAAAGGTCACAGTGAAGGAAAAATTTTCTTTTCGACAAAGTCATTAACTAGGTTGTACATTCTTGAATCAGTATAACAAAGGAGTGAAAACGTTTCAGAACTATTTCCGGTTAGAGGATGAAGTTAAAATAAGAAAAATAGAAAATGAAGTTCAGAAAATAAACACAATTACGTAATAATGGCTTTATTCACAAAGTAGTCTGATTAGGATTGCAACTGCAAGGACAAAGGTCATATGTACTTCTTGTCTTAAGCGTTTGAATCGTTAATGTTTCAACTACGCTGAAATGTCTTAATCTCACTTCCTTTGAGGGGTCTGATCGGAGCTTGCGTAGGACTTTGAAGGAATTTTCAAGTAGGGTACAGTGTCCTGAGTTCATGAGGTGTTGCATTATAGAACTTAAGACACACTTTAATTCTGTAATTGCTAGCATGGTTGGGTAGTGTTCATGAGCACCTTTTACAAGCAGACTCATGGTACTGTCAATGTACTCAGCTCCACAGGAGTTGATGTGGCTCAGTGTGATAGCTTGTGTTTAACACGTTAGCTTAATAATTTCCAGCAAGAAAATTTTATTCAGAGGCTGGCAGCGAATTATGTTTTATTTAGAGACTTTGAAAACTGTCTATGAAGTATCACATTCATCAGCAAGATTTTTGTGGAAAGAGCTGTGTTCTTTAGTTTCAGGTTCCTGTCTATTAAATCCAAGTGGAAAACGATATTTCTACTAGGAGTAGCCGAAGATAGTTCTTCACATCCTTGAGGAAAAGATAATAAACAGAACTCGTCTTTCCACTTAAATGGAAAAGGGCTTTGAAAATTAATAAACCATCTGTCCTCCTTAGTGAGTCATTATCCAATCTTAGGAATTGCATATTAAAGAAATGGAATGTTAAGTTCACTTCTTCTTCTCCTAGAGTGAAGCTAATGCTTGGGTTGGCATTATTGAACCATAAGAGCCAGGTTTTGAGATTTTGTTTTCATCCTTTTCCGTTCATAGCTTCTAGCTTTGAAACTGTAGTAGCGGTGGAAGTGTTTTTTCGAGGGATCGTGTTGTTAGCCCGACTTTTCCTATTTACCGGCTGGTTATCAAACTGGGCGAAGATTAGGAGTGCGTTGGCTGCCGGGAATCGAACCCGGGCCAAATGAAGCATGGTTGGTGAGTATTCTACTACTAAGATCCACAATTTTAAATCACTTTCAGTTTTATTGCATTTTCATAATTAATTACATAATTCATTGTGAACATCAATCCCTGTTGTTGTTGTTTTTTATTGACAGGAATCAGTTGATTCTTACTTCGTGCATCCTGAAAGGTAATTTTCTATAAATAATTTCACAATAAACACTAACTTAACAGATTATTCAACCATTTCTTTTTACCACATTGTGATAAAACCCTTTGCGTTATGATCAGTTTCGAAAAAAATTGATCACATTCTTTTGTTGATCGGCTAAATTTTCTTCCTCTTTACTGTTGAATTTCCTCAAGATTGCAGATACGCTTTGCTGACTGGTGAGTGCCAACTAGCACGAAACCTAGGTCCAGCTGGGGTTCCTGCCAACTGCCTCCAGCTATCTAATATCATCAAATCAATGTGCACTGTGATGGCGAACTACCTAGAATGATGGCTACATTGCAAACCTGACTGACTGATAGAATTCAGTCTGCACCAAAGAAAGGACTAGACACATCACACTAGTTACTGATAGTGTCCAATCAAAATACCCACTACAGTTCTACAGGAGGTCAATCTCGAACCCGAATAGCTCAGTGGTAACGTCTCTGACTGCAGCCCCACTGGGTGACGCGGGTTCGAACCTCAGGAGGGACATGAGTTCCTTCAAGGTTGCAGATACGCCTTGCTGACTGCTGAGTGCCAACTAGCACGAAACCTAGGTTCAAGGCCTCCTGGCAATTACCTTCAACTATATGACAAGACAAGGCTTCCTGGTGATCGCCTTCAACCAGTGTTTTTAGCCTATAAGGGACTAGTAGTGTTAGATGCCAGCAAGCTTTTGTCAAGGATGAAGTAGTGTATCTAAGATTTGTGTATACCTCCTTTTTTTCTATAAATGAAACTTGCATTATTCATTTTCGAGTTTCACGACGGATTGATATCAGTTACAGAACCACTGAAAACCAGGGAGTACTGGACAGCTGCTGTTTCATCCTAGTTTGGGAATCATCGGCAGTACGCACCCACCGTCAAGGTTCGAACCCAGGTACACTGCTTAAGAGGTCAGCCGGATTCATGCCAGTGTTCAAATGACCTCCTTCACCCTGGCAGGCTAGAAAGCACAACCAATTGATGTCAGTTGATCCAACTACTCATCTCAATCCATCAGTAGTATGTCTCTAGATTCAGTATTATATAGTGCGAGTTACTCTTGCTGTGGGAATACGAGTTTCCACAAGGATTTATATACATCTACCTAATGAATGTCAAGAACACCGAAACGTCAATCATTCGTGTCCAACTGACTGACTCCTTAGATTTAATTTGAAATCACAGTGTACATATAATACTTCTAATATATCATCAGCAACCCGTAGACATAATGTTGAACTGATAAGACTACAGAGGGGCTACAAAATAATACAAAATACCCAAAACTGATTAAATGTGTATAGTGTTCTTTTCAAAATGAAAACAAACCATGAATGCAGCTGTTCAAGCGATATACATACCAGTTCATGTTACCTGGAACCAATCTCCACTCATTGATAGATGTTATCACATGAACAAACTTCTTTGACTATTGTGTTTTTGAGCTTTGAAAGGATACGGCAGTGAGAAGATCAGGTTATAAGTTTATAATGTTAAATACTGTGCTTTCTTTCCACTCTCCACATTTACAGCAGCTACCTTACGGATCTACCGACTCAAAGGTCACCTACTTGTCGAAACTGTTCAGATAATGCCGAATCTCTAGTCACTTCCTGGGATGAAACTACTATGGAAAGAACAAACCCGAAGGTGAAAAGAACAAAAGTGAAATGGAATCCTGTAGAACTTTTAGTGACGTCATCATCGTTCAGGTCGAAAAATAATGAAGATTATGGGGAAATCATTTATCCCGCCGATAGACTGAAATCATCTGGTCTGGTTTTAATTGAAGGAAAATAAATTTGGTAAGATTTCATTTATTTTCTCTTCCCTTGTGACTTTTAATGATGCCTATATATTATATCATTGTATTTATAACTCTGAGTGGAACATAAGGCTTCAGAAGCACTCATCCCCTTCTCACACGATCTTTTCCATGTCACCCTCGGACAGTATGCACAACTCGTCGTTTCCTATTCGGATTCCACTCGAGTGATGGCCTGACACGTGAAGTCACTCAACGATTACCTCAGTTTCCATACACAATCCATCTCTATTTCATCTAGTTGGTTTCGTGGGAGATAGGCTGTTGGTTAGCTCGTTGCCAGAGTTCCTTTTGCTTGTCGGCTATCTGGTCTTCAGCATGGAGCGAAGGTAGCCGTCGATAAGTCTTCTGGTGACTCGCCAATTCTCTGAACCATATAGAACAACTGACTTGATTGGCATTTGTGTTAAAAATTAGGAGGATATTGTTCCTTGAGCCGAGTGTTGTCGATTTCCAGAATGATTTCAGATTAATGAAGTTCGATCCTGCCTTTGACAAATTCATCTATACCGATGCTGCCTAGATAGGTGAATGTGATGATCTTCTTCAAATTTCTCCCTTTGATGGTGATTTGTACGTGCTGTTGCTGTTATTGTTGTTGGTTAGCTATCTTCATCGCCTCTGTCTTTATTTATACTTATTTTATACTACTGAAATACCTGACTAGTAGTTGGAGAATAATTTGCTAAATAAATCAGTCAAATTAACCCCCTCTTGAACGTCAAATGACTATCTCTTTATAATAATTAGATGATGAGTGATTTCATCATGAATCGTGGTCCAATTGACTGAAGGGTCAGTGAACTTGTTTAGTAATCTGAAGCTCCCAGGAACGATCTCTGGTGGAGTTTCGGTTGGACACTGCCGAAGAGTTTCAAACTAGAAGGACGAAACAGGTGTCAAGTAGTACTTCCTGGTTTTCCGATGATTTTCTAAGTTATTTAGAGAACTGTTGAAAAACCAGAGAGTACTGAAAAGCCAGCAGTATCAACCTACTTCGGGACTGCTCAGAGATGTACTCACCCATGAAGGCTCAAATCCCGGACCATCCGGTTACAAGGCGAGATCGTACACTATACAGCCACTGAGACCCGATCCACTGGTCAGTGCACAAATTCGTGAACTGTATCAGGTGCGTACAGGTGAAGAGTACCAAACTAGGAAGAAACAGCTTTTCAGTACTCCCTGCAGGTTTTCCAATGGTTCTCTAACTGATGTCAGTTCATGATGAAATCCCCAAACCAATCAAATCCCTTCAAACCAACACCTGGTGATTCTCTAAATGATGTTGACTGTTTCATGACATGAATAATTTACTTACACAATAGGGCTACTGATTTGAATATTTCAGCTAGTAACGTAGTGATTATCACAACAAGACCACAAGGAAATTCATCCTACCATATATATTAAAACAATTTCCCGGAAATAACAGCTAGAATATTAAGACCGTCTGAAACAGATATAGTACACAAACCAGCCAGCAGAATCACTTCATTCGATATTGTGCAAACGAAAAGATTCAACAGAAAAAGAAGATAAAATTAATACCATTTACAAAATAAATTGTATGAACTGCAATAAACATTACATCGGTCAATAAAGTGGGCGTCCGCTTCGAATCCGAATCCAAGAACACAGAAGATATGATATATATTCTTTCGTATCAATGCATATGGATAATTATGGACACCATTTTGATGATTGGGATAATGTAGAAATTTTAAATGGCGGAGACACTAGACAGTAATGTCAGGGAATTTCTAGAAGCCTGGTACTCAAGTGAATCAGCGACTATCAAGCATTGGTTTTGTAGGGATTTTGTTTGAGTAGTTGGAGGATTTCATCATGAGCTGACATCAGTTAGAGAACCATTGAAAAACCAGCACTGGAGTACTGGACAGCTGTTTCGTCAGCTTAGTTTGTGACTCTTCATAAGTACGCACTCACCACCAGGATTAGAACACAGGACCTTCTGGTTACAAGGCGAGCTCGTAGACCAATAAGCCACTGGGACCCGATCCAATGGCCAGCCAGCCATGAATTCTAACTTCTGCCAATTCACGACATAGCGCGACCACTTCACAATGTCTTCTTCGATGAGTTACTGCCTCAACTTCAACCTGCTGTACCCTTCTGCTGAAAAGTCCCAAACTAGACTGACTAAACAGCTGTCCAGTACTCCAATCTTTTCCAATGGTTCTGTAACTGATGTCAGCTCATGATAAAATCCTCCAACCAATTAGCAATTAACAAACACATTATTATAGACCAAATTTTTAAGTCTGAGTTCAAAAAGCTTGTGAAAATATTCATGACAGAGTCTGAGAATAGACATCCAAGACGAATGAATGACCTCTAAACGATCGAGGTCCCTTTGTTGGATTCCTTACTCAAACCTAACTCTCATCTTCCTTTAACCAAACCTTAAATCGATCAGATGTCCTGTTTAATATTCTTAAGCTTCTCTCAACACTTTCTTTTCTGGATAAATTGCCATTTACTTGGTTTCATGGCTTTTCTCTGATCGAGCTGTTCCTTGCCTATTCTTTAACTTCACATTTATTCTTTCAACAGTTCACAAATTTTCCGCACAAATAACTCAGCTACTTATTATTTTGTCAGTAGTATAGTTGATATATGCGCAAATCGCTTGTGTTGGTGAAGATAATTTTATTTCTAGTTAGTATCATGAACTGGCTTCACTTAAAGAATCATTGGAAACTGGTTGTTTCATCCTAGTTTGGGACTCTTCATCAATACACATCTATAACTCTATCATATGAAAAAACTGAAGCTCTAAGGTTACAATGCGAGCCTGTTGACCATTCAGCTGCTGAGTTTGAAACTAATAGCTCATGAACCCTAACTTCCGATAATTTGTAGGATTCTTAGTGAAGTTGGAAACTGGAGTGACATTTAAATCAATCAACCAACCCACTCAGAGATAAACATTTCCGGCTAAAGGACCCAATAGATCCAATTAGGAAAAATAATATGATTTACCAAACACCATGTAATGACTGCTAATGAGATCACTTAAAAAGGTCAAACTAGTGGATAGGGATCAGCCAGATTATCGGAAATTAGGAATTCAGCTAGACCCAGAATGATCGAATTCACTAAGTTAAATAATCTGGAAAAGTCTTCAAGTGTCTGTTTGCAGGGATCTGATTAGTGACAGGTTTGACAACGAGGTTACATCAGTTAGAAAACACCTGGAAAACTGAAGTTCTACCAAGTCTGATAAGAGGGTAGTTATCCGTCGATGGTGTTGTCTGGCAGTTGCGCTATATATTGCGAACTGGTGTAAGTTGGAATTCATGAGCTACTGGGTCGGACCCCAACAGTTGAATGATCTAGAAGATCACCTTGTAACTGAAAGGCTCTAGGTTCGAACCCCAGTGGCTCCGTATTGCTGAAGAGTCCCAAACTTGGACGAGACAACTGTCAATTACTCTATGGTTTTCAAAGGGTTCTCTAAATGATGTCAGTTAGTGAAAAAAAACCTGTAATCCGCACAAAAATTAGGCCACTGAAATGCATTAACTCATATCTAATCACAAAGTAAGGTGGGATAGGGCAAAAGTACTCAAACTTAGAGGAACAGAGGGGTTAATCGCCGAATCTCTGTTAGTCAAATGGGAAGTGTAGATTGTCTGCCAGGAATCCTCAAGATTCTGAGAATCAGTGGATTAAAACTGCTCGTGACGTGGCTCAAGATTATTTTCAGTAACGTGGATGAGTTCATTCTTTGTACTCTTCCAGATACACTAAATTCTGAGTATTCTCTGTGTGTAATTTTTCCCTCTCCCGTACATTTTCTTTTTTTATAATTTCTTCACATTTCTTTATGTGTGCGCTTTCATGAAGTATGTCAGCTTAAACTTCCGCAACACTTTTGTGCAAAGTTCTACACTGAAAACAGTCACTCAGTGGGTCAGCCATCAATGCTTGCAATATAACACACAAACATTTTGATTTTTTTAGCTTTCCTAGCAAACTGAACTGTCCTTTCGAATGACTACAAATGTTTGACCTTGAATTCAAAAAACGCGCCATTCAATTGTCAATGTAATTCGATATCATTATGAACTTTATTCTTTAATTTATGTCAATTTTAAATTAAATGATTCATTGATAAACTGATTTGATTGATTTATTTTTACTTTTTATAGGTTGATATGACAAAAATGAGTGATACTACTAACAGACTACTTAATTGACATATCAGTAGTGTACTGAATATGTTTATCTAAATTAGTAGGATTTTACTCATCGTTTTATGCGACCAAATGTTGTTTGTGAGTAGTTTACTCCTTTCCTTTTCTAAATATAAATTTTTTTCAAGAAAAGCGTTTATTTTTTGTCTAAAATGTGAACTTTTAATTACTATATTTACGAAATATAACGCACTATGTAAGCTCAATCGATTGACGCTACCTTGACGTGGTAATCGAGTCGTTCAGAAAGAATGTTCCTGCAGCTACTAATATTAGGATTGAATCGCTTCAATAACGATTAAGTTAAATGCATTTATCGCTACAGCATGGTTGGTTTACACTATGCCATACTTCTGACGAACAGGAGTGTAACAGCATTGAGATATTTCTGTCGGACGACTAGCAAGCCAGGTACCCTAAAGAATACACATTCTGACTTACAACAAAGAGTTTCATAGCCAGGCATATATCCTCTATACAGACACAACTACAGCAGTACGCAACCATCGTTAGAAGTTGGAATTCAAGGGCTGGCTGGCCATTGGATCGGGTCCCAGTGGCTACTGAATGGTCTACGAGCCAGCTCGCCTTGTAACCAGAAGGTCCTGGGTTCGAACTCACCTGTGGTGGGTGCGTAAGGCTGAAGAACCCCAAAATATACTGACGAAACAGCTGTTCAACATTCCCGGGTTTTCCAACTAGATCAAGAATAAATGATTCCGCCGAGTGAAGCAGTCTAGTAAAGAGTTTGGGCACTACAATACATTCAGCTTCATTTTTTGAAGTTCGTTTATGTTCCCAGTGTAACATAGAAGGCTTCAAGCTAGAGGCTTGAAGTTTCTGTAGCATTGGTGTTTATTTTAACGGAGTGGGGTTGCTAACCTCATGCCTAGCCAACCTTTCCTCTTTACCAGTTTTATTACTGGCTTAACGAGGTAAAGGAGTGCGTCCAGTGGCCGAGAAACGAACTCCGGACCATATGAGTCGTAGTTGGCGAGCATTCTACCACTGTGCCACCGACACCTTTGCATGCCATCACACAGTAGGGTGGGGCAGGTTGAAAGTATTAAAGAGTAATATAGTTAGGTGAGGAGATAGAAACAGATTTTATTTAACCCAATCCCTGTGCACCAACACCCAGTAATTATTTTGATTTGGTTGGGTTCTCTGATCTGGTTAATGGTTTAATTACTAAGTTCTCATCGTCCTTTAAGACAATACTTTCAGCAGAAGCTAGAATATGAACTGAACTTGTTTAAATCCTCCATGGATGATGATAATAATTGTATCTCATCGCAACCATTGTTGTGATTGGCTGTCGCTTTACATTGACGGTTTTCATTGATTCGGAATTTGAACTTTCTTGTTATGTGATTCATCTTTTAGTAGTTGGAAAATTTAGTTTATAGTAATGGACTTGATGTCAGACAAGGGTGCTTATTATCACCAATGATATTCCTAATGGTGGTGGACTGGATAAGGCGTCAAACAGTGGGAAACGAGAAAGAAGACAGGGATATCCTGGACCGACATAAAGGACCTAGAAGACCTGGATTTCGCGCGTGGATGATTTATGTTTGATGTCACACAAAATCGAAGACTTACAAGCGAAAACCGATAAACTGGTCGGAGAAGCAGCAAAGGCAGGATTGACTCCAGGTGAAGGTGGAGGTTATGAAAATAACCAACCAACAACAACAACAGCAGCAACATCCAGCGCCAATCACCATCAACGGGAGGGATTTGAAAGAGGTTACTTCTTTCACTTATCTAGAGAGCATTGTCTCAACTACAGACAGGAGGAACGGACGAGGATGTCAAATCGAGAATCGGGAAGGCGAGAAACACATTCATCAACCTGAAACCAATCTGGGAATCTTCGTCACTCAGCCTGCATCAACAACAAAATTCGGATTTTCAATACAAACGTCAAGTCAGTCAGTTCTTCTATACGGATCAGAAACTTGGCCAATGTGTCACAAAGAATATTTCCAACAGGTTGCACACCTTTATCAACAACTAACTGTCTTCGTTCTATACTGAAGATCAGATGGCCACCGGAAAGAATCACCAACAAGAAACTATGGGAACAAACAAAACAAGAACCAATCACCCAACAAATATGCAGGAGAAAGGGGAGATGGATGGATTGGGCACTCGTTGAGGAGGCCGCTGGGTGACATCGCACGTCAGGCCAATGCTCGAGTGGAACCCGAAAGGGAAGCGGCGAGTGGGACGTCCAAGGGTGACATGGAGGAGATCGTGTGAAGAGGAGTTGAAACAGTATGGACTAACATGGATGCATGTGAAAAGTACAGCAGAAGACAGAAGCAAGCGGAGACGTGTAGTTGAAGCCCTATGTTCCACTAGGAACCCAAGGGAACCATAATAATAATAATGGACTTGATAATCACTGATTCATTTAAATACCAAGCGTCTAGAAATTCCCCCGGTACTCTTTAGTATTTCTTCTGGTTGTAGACATTTACGGATAATTTTCAAACGTTGGTTTGTAAGGATTAGATTTGTTTTTACGAGTTCGACCACGAACGAAGCTTGTCTTGTAACCGGAAGGTCCTGGTTTCTAACCCCAGTGGGTGGGTACTGCCGATGATTCTCAAACTAGCTGGATGAAACAGCTTTCCAGTAATCCCTGGTTCTCTAAATGATATAAATCCGTGGTCAAACTCGTGAAAACAATTACGGATAAGAATTTGATTGGGAGAATGTAGAAATTTTAAAAACAGAGGTAAAGCCTAAAATACCAGGGAATTTCTAGAAGCCTGATACTCATATAAATCTGTGATTAACAAACATGTTACTATAGGCCAAATTTACCAACTAATAAAAAATAAATCACACGACAAGATAGTTCAAATTCCAAGTTTATGATGAAAATGATCAACAGAATTGTATGTTAACAACCAGTCACAACACCGGTTGTTAGAAGATACAATTACATGTTCATTCATGGCGAATTCAAACAAGTTCAGCGCATATTAAAGCTTCTGTTGAAGATGTTCTTTAGATGAGACACAATGAAAACTTCACAATTATATCAACCAGCACATAGAAAGCAACCAAACCAAAATCATTCACCTGCGCTATAAATCCTCTCTATTATTTTGTAATTAATGTGTTGCTTACTGACGACTGGCTCTATACAGGAAAATCACCTGGGGTTCTAGTGAGAATTTGTAACCAGAAGGATCTGCCAAGTCAAGTAAAAGAATAGTTACTTGCTTCTGACACTGGCTGGTGACTGCGTTAAGTATATTGTCGAAGAGTCCTCATCCGGGACGAAACGACTATCTAGTGCCCCAATTCTGGTTTACAATGTTTCTCTAACTGATATTAGCTCATAATGAAACCGTGAAGCCGATTATCTGCTCATGTAATCAATACCAAGCATGTGGAACTGAAATGACGCAATATCTATTCCGAATACACGAAAAGTTGCAATAAAAATAGTAGGGGGAGTAAGGATGTGTACAGCAAGTTATCAATTTATCTAATTTATTTGATGCATATAAAAATTAATCGATAACAATCTTAGGTTATTTCAACTTCCCTATTGACTGATTAATTGGAGGGGGGTTCATCATGAGTTGACATCATTTAGAGAAGCATTGGAAACCCTACAGGGAATACTGGACAGCCAGCTGTATCGTCGGCGAGTAACTTGTTGGACCCCGCTGGTCACGACTTCATTCAAATAATTTTAGTTTAAGAACCACTAAAAACCAGCTCTGGAGTACTGGAGAGCTGTTTCGTCCTTTTGGGGACTCATCAGTATTACTGTATGACCATTCGACTATAATTTCAAGCCACCGGACAGTTGTTTCGCCCCAATGCAAAATGATGACCATTCCAGCACGAATACTCATTTATACCACCGACTGGGTATGGCTCATAGGATCTCAACCCAGTATTTGAATAGCCTATTAGTTCACCTTGTAAACTGAAGGTCCTAAGTTGGACCCCTAGTGTATGGATGGGTTATGGGGTGTGCTGATGAAGAGTCTCAGAAAAGGACGAAACGGCTGTCAATATATACTTTAGTACTGGTTTTTAATGGTTTTCTAACGCTGATATCAGTCAATTCATGATCAATCTTGAGTTGTATTCATCTTTACTGTTCATTTACTCAGTTCTATAGATTAAATTCATAATAACTATTATGACATGAAACATTACAACTTATCCAATTGTTATAACTATTAAAAAAATAAAAAACAATTTACTCATATCATAAAACATCATAACAAACCATTACTCAAGTAAATGATGCAACAATTACATGACTGAAAGCGATCGTGTGATTTATACAATCATGAAAAAAAACGATTTGGGAATTATTAGTGATTGATGCATGCATGCATGTATATCCTTATCACTCACATCCTCTCCTTTCCCAAAATGAAAAATTATAATAATATTGTACAATAATTTCTTTAACAGTCTCATATAGAGCACACTTTCTCTCTCTCCCTCCCCATCCTCCCCGTTTAATTAAAAAACATCAACGTCATACTCACGCCTTCATGTCATCGTTATCATTTGACGCATTGAAACATCCTTCCTCCTTATCAGTGTGTAGAACATTGATGATAATATAAAATATCTCTTGATTGATTGTAAATGCGGGAATGAATGAACCATAACTCTCGAACAATTTTGAGGCATATTTTATCATCATAATGAACCAATCTCAACAGTTTTTTAAATTGTCATCATACCTTTAATTACATTAGTTAACTAATTGATTGATTGACTGACTCACTCACTGGTCCATTGTGATTGTCTGTCTATCTATCTATCTATCTGACTAAACTGTGATAGCATTAAGACTAACTTAACTTATTGATTAATTCTAATAATAATCACGTGACATCAATTCAGTTTAAATTTGCGTATGCGTATAACACACATATGTGTGCGCAAATAGTGGGATATTGATTGAAAAGATACAGACATACATGGGCATAATGCGCGCACACACATACACACGCAGAGACACACCTATCATTATCATACTTGATTAGTAATAGGCACGTGATAATATTTAGT